GTCCAAAACCAGTTTCAAAATACAAAAAAACAAAAACAAACAAACAAAAACCCACAGTAAAATGGGCTAAAAAAAGGGAAAAATGTGGAAAAAAAAAAGGCGAAAATGGCTTAAAATGGGTTAGAAATTACCAAAACCGGCTTAAACCAGGTTAGAAATGGGCAAAATCGGTTAGAAGTGGCCAAAATTGGGTTAGAAATGGCAAAAAAAATTTAGAAATGGGAAAAAAGTTTTTAAATGGGTTAGAAATAACCAAAAAATGGCCTAAACTGGTAAGAAACAGGCAAAAATGGGATAGAAATGGCCATAAATGGCTCCTTCGCGCTCCTTCTTTCCCTCCTTCCTTCAATCCTTCCTTTTTCCTTCCCTTCCTCCTTTCATACCCTCCCTTCCTCCTTTCCCTCCCTCCTACCTTCCTTCAGAAAGAGTGTGAACACAAGAGCAGAGGTTCTGAGGCAATCTAATGGAAGAGAAGCTAAGGGTACAATTGAATATGGGGAAGAGAACAGAAGGGAAGAGAATTTAAGAGATTACTAGAGAAGAGCAGGAAAAGAATATTAGGGAATACAAGAGATCCAACAGAATCTAACATTCTAAGATTAGAGAATTGAAGAGCATCTAAGAAGAGAATATAGGGGAGAGAATATCATGGAATAGAAGAGAATCTAAGACTAGAAGAGTAGAGAACCTAAGAGAAGCCAAGAGAGAAAAATTGAGGGGCATACAGGAAAAGGAAGAAATTTAGAGAATCTAAGAAAAGGAAACAGAAAAGACCATAAGAGTATACAAGCAAATAAAATAGAAGGGAATCTAAGAGAAGAATATGTAAGCAAATATAGGAGAGAGACAGGAGTAAGTGAAAACACTATACAGGGTAAGACAATAGAAAATAAGAAAATGTAGGACTATAAAAAAAAGGGAAGAGAATATAAAAGAGGGAAGAGATTCTAAGAGAGCATAAGGGAAGGGAAAAGAATATAAGAGAAAGGAATATATGAGGAGAGACTATAAGAGAATTTAAGATAAGGGAAGAGAATGTCAGACAAGAGAACTTAGAAGGGAAGATAAGAGAAGAGAATATTAGAGAACATAAGGGAAGGGAAGAGACTAGAAGAGACTAAGAGAATATAGGACCATAGAAGAGAGTAAAGAGAAGGGAATATAGGAACATGCAAAGGGATAGAAGAGAAGGGAGTAAAAGAGAATAGAGATTAGAAAAGACTAAGAGAATATATGGAAAGAGAATATAAAGGAATCTAAGAAAACAGAATGAGAAGGGAAGGGAAGAGACTGGAAGAAAATGGAAGAGACTAAGAGAATATAGGAGAAAAGAGTACAAGAGACAGGAAGGGAAGAGAGACAGACCGGAAGGGGAGACTCTAAGAGAGTATTAGGAAGACAAGACAAAAGAAATGTGCTCCTGGCCTGGTAACATCTTTATTTTTTCAGGACAACTATTTAATTTCATTAAAAGCAGGAATCTTTAAATATACACAGTCTTGTCTGTCACGGAGCTTCAAACCCCTGCAGGAGTCATCAAGCTGTGAGAGGCAGCTGCACAAAGAGAATCCTTTCTCTAACGCAAGCAGCTGAGCAGTGACCACCTGTTACAGCCACTCATCAATGTTAGCTGTGCATCGACACCAATGCCACCAACAGAGCAGATAAGCTCTGGCAGCAGGCACCGAACAGGAGGGGATGCTGCCATGTGCACGGAAGGCAGAGGCATGTTCCCAATGTGCTTGCTGGGTGCGCACTAAGTAGCAATTACAGAGTTTTCCATTCACATCCCCGGTGGCCTTACTTCTTCCTCCTGTGCCACTTTGCTGTGCTTCACTGCAGCATCCAAGGACCTTGCCCCTGCATGGCTGGGCTCAGCAGCACACTGCGTGCTGAGCAGCATGCATCACCTGCAGGGCTCTGTGATCACCAGGGTGCAGCAAAGGCAGCAGTAGAGAGGGGTCCCTTGGAAATGTGCTGTCTGCCTGCAGGCACCGCCCCATCGTGGCATCTTCTTGAGATCAGGGGCTAAATACACATCTCTGTCCCTGCAAGTGTGGCCCGGGGCTGCTGGGAAAGCCCATCTGTGGAACAGGCTGTGTGTGTTCTGGTCTGTAAGCCCCCCATCAGCTATGGTACAGCTGAAGTCTTGTCACTGTCAAACGTTTACCAGGTAATACCCCTTACTGAACTAGAAACCTGCACTAACGCCGCATGCCTGGCAGGCTGGGAAAGGTAGATACATTTGGGGTTATGCACACGAAAACTCTACAACCTGCTGTGGTTCAAGTGCCATTGTTCTTGTCGGTAAAGGGAAAAGCAGCCTCAGGCATCCTGCTGGGCTCAGGGGTCCATCAGCTGCACCGGAGCAGCTTTGCTTTCAAGATGCGATACTTGCTATGCTGGTAAGTGACCAGGTCAAACAGGCTGAAATAAAAGTGAATTTGCCCAGAGCTGGGTGTTACTCACGTTGGTACTGGTACTGGTGGTAGCAAACGTTTACTGTGAACCACATGCTGAACAGACATGTTCAGCATTTCAAATAAGCCAGTTTTTCCTCCCTGGCTGCATTATATTCCCCCAGATGAATTTAACCTCGTGGCAGCAAAGCACTTTAGCTCAAGGTACCAAAGAGGAGCTTCAGCAAGGGGACAGTCCCACCGGACACACCAAAGAGTGCGAGGACGAGCAGCCCTTCCGTAAGAAAGAAGGATAATTGTGGCTTTGGGGTTTTAAAGAGACCTTCAGCAGCTGTAGGGAAACACCTGCATTCCCTGGGGTTCTAACCATAGGATCACAGAACGGTTTTGGTTGGAAGGAACCTTTAAAGGTCTTCCAGTCCAGCCTCCCGTGTAATGAGCAGGGACATCTTCAACTAGATCAGGGTGCTCAGAACCACATCCAGCCTGGCCTTGAATGTCTCCAGGGATGGTGCATCCACCACCTCTCTGGGCAACCTGTGCCAGTGCTTTACCCCCCTCATTACAGAAAAATAACGGGGCTGACCTGCAGTTCCTGGTCCTCCCTCCAGCCCTTGCCTTCTCCCCAGCAGTGCAGCTCCTCTGCTACAGAGCTGGGATCCCTCTCAGGAAAATCAGCTCTTAGCCCTGAAACTGCCCCACGAGTCTCTGCCCACACCAGCAGATCAGGACGGCAAAGCTTTGTCAAGTTGCCTACATCGCCTAGACAGAAGGCATCATAAACAAGGACAACAAATTGTGAGTAGTGTGGTGGACTCCCATTGGGTTGGAAACACTGCATGGGTACTAATTCAACAAAGACAACACCAAGAGCTGTAAACTCTGCTGGTAGTACCCAAATGTCAAGAGAAAACCAGGGACCTGCATCGTTACAACATCCAACAGCATGATTAGAAAAATAGTGGGAATTCCCCCTAGAGCTGCTGCAAACCAGCCTGCAAGCAAAGCAATTGCTGTTTAGGAAAAAGCAATGCAATGATTTCAAACCAGGAAAGCAAATCAAGCTGAGATTTCCTGTGTCAATGTTTTCAATCACACGAATGTAATTGACTGGAAGGGATAAAACTTCCTGAATTAAGCACGTAAACAGTTGAACAAAACAACTTCTTCCTTGTTCAAGCAGAGGATGTGCTTTTGCTCTGATTTACTGGCCCCGGGTATTTCTATAGGAGGATCTAGATCTGTCCAGCTGTTAAAGTGTCACTCTGCATTCAAGCCAGTGTAAGAGGAAACAAAGTCCTGCATCCAGATCTTGAGCCCCAACTCAAGAGGGATGTGGATGCGGAGCCAGGCAGAGAGAGATGAGCTTGTTCAGCCTGGAGAAGAGAAGGCTCCTTAAGGGGAGACCTTAGAGCAGCTCCAGTGCCTAAAGGGGCGACAAGAAACCTGGAGAGGGGCTTTGGACAAGGGCCTGTAGGGACAGGCCAAGGGGGAATGGCTTTAACCTGACAGAGGGGGGACTGAGATGAGCTCTTAGGCAGAAGCTCTTCCCTGGGAGGGTGCTGAGGCGCTGGCACAGGGTGCCCAGAGAAGCTGTGGCTGCCCCATCCCTGGCAGTGTTTAAGGCCAGGTGGGACACAGGGGCTTGGAGCAAGCTGCTCTAGTGTGACGTTGTCTCCGCCCGCCCGTGGCAAGGGTTGCACCTGGATGAGCTTTAAGGTCCCTTCCAACTTGAACCATTCCATGATTCTATAAAATGCAGAAATGGGGAGGATAACTACAGGCAAATTACAAACCAGCTGGTGAAAGCAGAGGGTAAATGCATTTCCTCTCCTGGCAGGGTCAGAGGAGCATGTGCTACAATTCCCAGGCATACCTCTGCTCTCCTCTGTTGCTTCCCAATAGCAGAAACCTTTCTTTTCTTTTTGATCTTGCAGCTGAAAGAAAGAGGTTAAAAAATCTTGTGGAGCTCTCGAAAGGGTCTGCCTTGGCACACACAATGTCCACACAAGTGCACTCTGCTCTAAAACAGAAGGGTTCTTATATTTACCCAAGAACAAGAACCGGGTTTTTCTTCAGCTCAAGAAACCACTGATGCGAGTCCACAGCATCAACACTGATGAGGCTGATAGGCTGGTGTGTCTAACACAGATATCACATCTGCCACCTTGCTTAGCTTAGGTTTCAGCACAGCTGCTGAGCACCGCTGCTAGCCACCAAACACACCGGCTGAGGAAGTGCTGAGTGATGAGATGCTAGACCTCAGTGGAAAGTTCTGCACCATTTATTTAGCCAGCAGATCAACTCTAAGTCCAAATGAGGATAACATCTCCTACACAGGAGGAGGAGGTGCCAGACAAACCCTTAAGTACCAGCGAGCTGTTGGTGCTGGGCACCAGCCCTGTACATGTAGCCTGTGCCCATCCTGCAGCCCCACAGGCTGGCCCTGCTCCTCCTGGCCAGGATGCGTGGCTGCACAGCCCTCATGTGTCCTTCCTCTGCTGACACCCGCTGATGATTCTGTGGTCCTAAACCTACAGGGAATCCCACTTGGGGCTCATTCTCTCTTGCTCTCTGGGAGCTGATGCTCAGGGTCCTGTTGGGGCTGGAGGGAGGCAGAGGAGCATCAGGTACCTGGTTTCTACGTGGCAGCGCAGCCCCTGCAATGCAGACCTCCATGCAGCAGGTCGTCATCTCTTTCCGTTTCTGTTCTTACTCCAGGGTATTCCCTGGGCACTTTACCTGGAAGATCACAGCACATTATTTCCTAACAGGAGCTGGGAATCAGAAGCTAAATCCATTCTAACATGGGAAACAGGCGTTTCAAAAAAACTTCCCTTTTTTGACCCAGTGAACCCTTGCATCCACTCCCAGGGTCTCTTGAAGCAGGTCCGTGCTTAGGCTGATGACACGACTGCTTTCAAGGGATGCAGTGACAGATGAGCCTGAAAGAACACAAGTTTCAAGAAAAGAACAAAGCGTCGTGCTTTAGGGCATTGTATTTGAGAGCTGTGAGCAACAGCAGCAAGGTCAGAGCAGGCAGTTTCCAGATTTCTTTATGCTGTTTGGAAACGGGGAGGAAAAGCCCCTCACCTAAGCGCTGTGCCCCTCACCTAGAGCTCTTCTGCCCCAGAGGCAGTGTGTCCGTTCACTCTTTCTGGCTGTGCTTCCCTCCCAGGTCAGCTGGCTGCCCAGGGCCTGCCCAGCAGTGCCCATGAAGTACTGCCCTGCCCAAGTCTAGTCTCACACCTGTGCAGCATACATATGACATCTTTGCTGACAGCTCTTGAGCCCCAACTCAAGAGGGATGTGGAGATGCTCGAGTGAGCCAGAGGAAACCATGGAGATGCTGCGAGGGCTGGAGCACCTCTGCTGTGAAGCCAGGCAGTAAGAGATGGGCTTGTTCAGCCTGGAGAAGAGAAGGCTCCTTAAGAGGAGACCTAAGAGCAGCTCCAGTGCCTGAAGGGGCTCCAGGAAACCTGGAGAGGGGCTTTGGACAAGGGCCTGTAGGGACAGGCCAAGGGGGAATGGCTTTAACCTGCCAGAGTGGAGACTGAGCTGAGCTCTTAGGCAGAAGCTCTTCCCTGGGAGGGTGCTGAGGCGCTGGCACAGGGTGCCCAGAGAAGCTGTGGCTGCCCCATCCCTGGCAGTGTTTAAGGCCAGGTTGGACACAGGGGCTTGGAGCAAGCTGCTCTAGTGGAAGGTGTCCCTCCCCGAGGCAGGGGTTGGAACTGGATGAGCTTTAGGTCCCTCCCAACCCAAACCATTTCATATCAGGACATTTTTCCATCCCCGGTGATAGGCAGGAAGGTGCTAAGTCCCCAGCTCCCCATCCCTCTCTGGGGGTGGGCACTCACTGCAGGGGCAACTCTCCACCTCACAGGGCAATTCTGCTTTTGGAGACAGCCTCCTGGAAGGATGCAGCCATTTCATCCTGTTTCAGGGGAGCACCTCTCCATGTGCTATCACTGCAACCGGGCACAAACTTCCCCTTTGTTGGGGGAAGAGAGGGAAACCGATGTGTTTGACTGCTGGAAAAGCTCTGGGGTGTGAGGAGAAACATCCTGCACACAGAAAAAAACCATCAAATAGCTGTGGGAGGGCCTGGCAACCTGTTTCTATGGGCTCTCCATGGGTCGCAGCACCCCCCAGTGTCTCTCTACGGGTCCCTCTCTGTCTCTCCCCCCCCCCCCCCCCCCCCATGTCCGTACCTTGAAGGCCAGGGTGGTGGAGGCAGGAGGTGGATGCCGGGTCTGTGCAGCAGCTCCCGGAGGAGGGGGGCGGCGATGCCGGGGCGGGAGGTGCCCGGCCGGGTCCCGAGGCGCTGCGAGCCCCGGAAGGAGGGAACGGGACGGAGCAGAGCATCCGCCCGCACCACGCTCGCCAGCGCCATCTTGGGACGAAAAATGGCGGCGTCGGAGGCACAGTGCGGTCGTTCAAACGTTCAAACACCCACCCCCCCCCCCAGTGCTTTATGCGGTAAAAGTGATGGAATTCCCTCTTTTCCATTGCTTCGTGAGGTAAAAGTGACGGAATTCCCTTTTCCCCAGCACATTCTAAGGTAAAAGTGAGGGAATACCGGCTTCTGCCCGAAGGTAGCCGAGCGGAGCCGAAGCCTTCCGAAGGGGGCGGAGCCGAGCGGAGCCGAAGCCTCCCGAAGGGGACGGGTCCGAGCGGAGCCGAAGCGTCCCGAAGGGGACGGAGCCGAAGCCTTCCGAAGGGGTCGGAGGGTCAGCGTCAGCCAATCCCTGTCCGCCTCTCCGTTAGCTCCAGCCCGCAGCTGAGGGGCCGCTTTCCCGCCTAGAGACCGGCGGCCAATCAGCGGTGTCCTTTCGTGTGAGGGAGCGATGGCGGGAGCCGGGAAGGAAGGAGGAGAAGGCAGCGAGGGCTGAACCGCGGCTTTATTTTCTGTATATGCGCGGTTATGAAGATTAGCGGGGTTTAGGTCGGCGGGGGGAACGTCCAGGAGTTGCTGGGTGAAGGTTTGTTCCGGCTTTGGTGGGCGGGAAGATGGGGGTGATGAGGGAGGAAAGCGGTTTAAATGGGAGAGATGATGGAGAAGGGGGGAGAATGGCTGTTAGGGGGGATAGATGGTGTGGAGGGAGGGGGGATAATGGCGGTTAAATGGGATAGATGATGAGAAAGGGGTGGGTAGTGGGATACGGGATAGAAGAAGGGAGGGGAATTGTGGTGGGGAGTGAAACAAAATGTCGACGGTGGGGAAAAGCAGACGGCGCATAGGGGGACAAGATGGCGGATGGGGTGGTCCAGCACACGATGGGTGAGGACATGTTCTCCATCCCCACGTCCCAGACTCTATCCCTCTAATATGGAATGTCGGGTGGTGGACACCAGATGGTAATGTTAGACCCTCTGTACTTGCAGGACCAGGCTGCTGTTGTGGGCTCCATCATGTAGCCCCAGCTCCTGCCTCAGTGCCAGTGTCACCCGGTGCTGCTGCACCTCTGTGGGGATGGAGATGATGAGGAGGAGGATGAGGAAGAGCCCGTGGATCAGGAGGAAGATAGATTAACCCTCACCCTGCCGAAACCTGTGCGCATCGAAGGCGTGCACCAGCTCCCTTTGCCGCAGCGGCAGCCCCAAGGTGTGTGGCGCTCAGCAGTGAGCCTCCAGCACTCCTGTCGTCATTGCCATCATCCTGGATCCGTCCCGGAGACGCAGGAAAATCTCTCAGTGGGTGATGGCTGGTAGCACCCCAGGGCACAGCCCAGCAGCAGCCGCCCCACAGTGCCAGTGAGGTCCAGGGGCTGCAGCAGCACCTGAGGCAGCGGCTCCCGGTGCTGATCCCAGCGGCATTCCCAGTATTCCTGGCCCTCCATGCCCAGCAGCCCATACTCGCCAGGGGACAGGCTGCCCACCCAACACAGCGAGCCACGTAGGGACCCCGAAGTACCCCCTGGAGCCCCCCAGACCATAAGTACCCCAACACCAGTTGACTCTTTGATGCGCTTTCATTTTTATTTACTTTTATTTGTATTTCAGGTTTATTCAGGTTTATTCACTTTTATTAATTTTTATCACTTTATTGACATTTTCTTGACTTTTTTCTTCAGTTTTCTTTCAGTTTTGATTCAGTTTTCTTCTAATTTAGTCACTTTTAGTAACTTTTTTTTCCAGTTACCCCAGAGCAACCCGTGGACGTACGGTAGACCCCAGTAGATCCCCTATGGTGACCCCCCAGCCTCACAGACTCCCTGCAGACATCCCATAGGGTCCCAAAGCGACCCATAGACACCCCACAGCAACTCTTAGCACACCGTGGACATGTCACAGTAACCTACAGTGACCCCCAGGCACCACATAATGACCTGTAGACACCCAGAGCAACCCGTACACAGCCCACAGCCACCTGCACGTGGCCCCATGACAGCCCTTGTGACTTACAGTGTCGTGATGTCACCAGGACTGGGATGACATCATCATCAATCCCCATGGCGCCCCAGAGGGCCCCCGCTCCCCACCTGCCCCCCATATGTACCCCAGGTTTTTTATTTGCTTTCATTCATTTTTATAAAATTTCATTCACTTTTATTCGACATTCATTCAGGCTTATTCACTTTTATTCCTTTGTATTTACTTTACTTTTTATAATCACTTTATTCACTTTGCTTTTTACTGACCTTACGCAGTTTTAGTCAGCTTTATTTGCTGTGCGTTCATTTTTGTTCTCCAGATTTATTTACTTTGTAATCCTGTTTAGTAACTTGGTGTTGTTGGGTTTGGGGGTTTTTCTTTAGATGCCCCATAGCGACCCGGAGAAACCCATGGACACTGCATAGAGCCCTGTACACCCTATAGACATCCCATGGGCATATATGGCAACCAGTAGACACCCGACAGCAATCCATGGACCCTTCACAGGGACCCATATTTTGTGACCCATATCTTGTGACCCACAGATGCCTGAAACAACCCCCCTGACTGCCCCATGGCAGCCCGTAGCACCCCATGGATACCCTCCACTTCCCTGTGATGTCCTATAGACCCACAACTCACACCCCATAAAGTTTTTTATTCTCTTTTGTTTTTTTTCCCCCTTTTCATAATGTGTAATCACTTTTATTCACTTTTCTTTGAATTTCCTCAGTTTAATTCATTGTATTTAGTTTTTAGTCACTTTTTGCTCACTTTTATCCAAGTTGTATTCAGGTTGATGACCTTTTCATTCTGTTTTTAGTGACATGATTGGTCTGGGCTGGATATGGGGCCAAGGTGGGGAGAATGAAGTCGTGGGGGTGTTGTCTGTGCTGTGGCCGGGCTGTGGGAGGTGTGGGGTTAATAAAGGCCTGGGGGTGTTGTCTGTGCTGTGGGGGACTGTGGGAGGTGGGGTTAATAAAGGCCTGGGGGTGTTGTCTCTTCGGGGGGGGGGCAGCTGTGGGAGGTGTGGGGTTAATAAAGGCCTGGGGGTGTTGTCTCTTCTGTGGGGGGGCTGTGGGAGGTGTGGGGTTAATAAAGGCCTCGGGGTGTTGTCTGCTGTGGGGGGCTGTGGGAGGTGTGGGGTTAATAAAGGCGTCCTCCAGTAAAAAAAAAAAAAAAATTAAAAAATATTTAAAATAATGATCTAAGTAAACAAATTAATGACTTCAGATGAGCAGTCAATGACCCTAATTAATTAATTAAGCAAAGTAATGCTAATTATCTAAAAATTTTGTATTTAAAAAAATATTTTTTAGGTATTTCCTGGCATGCCTGCAAGACCAGGATAATTTTTTTTTTTCTGAAAAAAAATAATTAGCTCAAAAATTCTGTTAATCAGTTAAGCAAACAAACCCATAAATTAAGCTCATTAATTCACCTCATTCATCCATTAAATGACCTATTTATTATGCTGATTAGCTTTTTTGTTGGTTTGTTTTTTAGCTCACACCCCCTCCCCCCAAAAAGGTAATTAGAATAAAAATGTATTTAAAATAATCAATTAAGG